CCCCAGCCTCTGTGCTAATATTTTTAATTTGATCAAAGTCATTGATTTCATAAAAATATGCTATCAAGTCTCACAAAAGGGGAAATTAAAAATGAGAATAATTACATAAAAGTTAAATAGCTGGTTTGTTATTAAAAATAACTCCACAAAGAAAACAAAAGTCTCAATGATTTTACTAATGAATTCTACAGAATTCAAGAAATAGATAAATGTCACTTTTACAGAAACTTTTTCAAAGTTACAAAAGAAGGAATGTTCACCTAGCAATTGGTTGAGATTTGTATGAACTGCAAAAAAAAATGCAGAAAAAATCATAGGTGAATTATCATATGGGGTCCCACATTTGTATTTTATTCCCAAGTTGATTCCATTGTGCATTCTCAAAGTAGCAATAAATTAAAATATAAGGAAGGTACCAGCAAGGTGAAAGAGGACACTATCAGGAAAAATATATTTCTAAGGTTAGTTAATATTTAAAAGTCAATTTTAATTTAGCAAATTAAGATATATAGTTAATACCATTCCTTATAAAATTCCTAGAAAACTAAGGAGAGAACTTTTGGAATGGTGAAAATGATACACAAAATAATCCTACAGTAAATATCACTGAATGTACTCTTTTGAGTATGAAAAAGATCAGCTATAATAAAAGATCATCTATAGTTATAAAAAGTTAGAAAATGCTATTAATTTCTCAGTTTCAACAAGTATCTGAGACTTATGAGGAATATCAAAAATAGCTCATATGCCAAATTTACAAAGGGGATAATTTAGAACAGCTTTCAAAATTTTCAACATCTCACTCACTCTGAGAACATAAAAATGTTTAGAGGCAAGTAAAGCAATTCATTGATAGGGGAGGAGTGATCGGGCTGATATCTAATTTTCAAAGCTATTTTGCACATGGAACACAATAGAGCATTATTCAGGATTCAGAGAATAATAAAGAATGATCATCAAATTTTATATTTAATTAAGATGTCATTCACATATAAATAAGATTAAGATGTTTACAAAAAGAACTAATAGACTAGAGACCCTTGAAGTGACAATTAGAAAAAGAAGATGGTTTTGGAATTCAACCATCTAATAGTTGAATAAAAAATAAAAATTACTTCAGATAACATTATACTTGCACAATGATGACAGAACATAAATGCTACAGGTATTGACAATATGTATAATAAAGAACAAAAATGATAACAAAGGAAGGTAGGTGAGAGAAAATGAGGGTAATCTATTTCACTTGTCATGGCAATGATTATCAATACTATGTAAAATCAAAATGTGGCAATATTAAAAAAATCTCAGAATTCATAATGCTAGTCATAACTATTCCTTTTAAATTAAAGATATATTTCAGGACATTTTATTTCTTATACTACAAACATTTATCTTATATGGAGTCTCTACACTCACTAATCTTATCTATTATTTCTAAATTTACCCACATTAGGGTTTTTAGCCTTCACAGTGCTTCAGAATCAGCTAAAAATCTTCTAAAAGCTTCACATATACAGGGAATATTCCAAATATTCAGTTTTAATTGACCTGTGGTGGGGTCCCATATTTGTTTTTTATTCCCAAATTGACTCCAATGTGCATTCAGACTTGAAAAATCAGCACTGTGTATCAAAAAGAAATTAAAACACATCTGGGGCTTTCAGGAAAGAATTATAACAATTCTGCACATTTGTATCAAAGAAGCCTATGATTTATATTTTGAGGGGCAGTCTTATACAATGATACTTAATATGAACCCTGAAGTAAACTGCTTGGACTCAGTTTCCAGCCTCACCCTTTCCTGGGAAAAATTAATAGACCATTCTGTTTTAGTTTTCCTGATAAATAATATTAATATTTAATTACAAACATTAAATAAATGAAGATATATAAAATACCGGAGTCAGGCAAGAAAACATCTGATGGCAAATCAATGTATATTTATTTATGTGTTTGTCTATATTTAAAAACACAATATATATATATATATATATATATGTGTGTGTGTGTGTGTGTGTGTGTATGTACTTATTCCCTTACATATGTATATTTATCAATTATTTTCAGTTCAGTGAACAACTGAACTGAATCAGGGACAACTTTAAATAGTAAATAAAAGATAAATGTTACCAAAATACTCAGAACTCTCCAAAACAAATAGTATTTTTTATTTACAATAACTATAATTGTCACAATGAAAAACTGTTCAAATAAGTGTAAGTCAAACAGTATGGCAGAGCTCCTTTGAATAGACAGTTCAAAATGCTCCAATTTTAGGATTTTGTTACTACTACAGTTAAATGAAGGTTCTTAATCCTGTCAGAAATTCCACTTTACACTACAAAATAGTATTTGCTGTTCTCAGAGTCACCAGATAATTACAGGATGATAAAATTTCTATTAGCAATCCAATATAGCAATTGAAGCAAAGGATCCAACAGAATACGATAGAGGATACTTTATTACCGGCATAACCTACTGAAGAAGACACTGTCACTAAAGTCTGAAAAAATGGTTAATCGGTAAAAAAGTTAACTACACTGTAGTGCTAATGATAAAACAACTTAACTTCATATAATACAAACAGCTACTGGAAACAAAAGGCTAGGTATATAAGAATAAATTTACCTCCTGGCAATTACTGTCCCATATTTACATGAGACAGATGCCCATTTACTACATAGAAGATGCTTTTTATTGATTTTAACAACTTTTTAAAAAATTTACCACATTCCATGGAGTTTCAAACATGGGATGAATCTCTTTTTATATAAGTAAGGATAAACTATAAACTAATAAGATAATGGATAGTCAACTATCTGGAATAAGGTAGAAAGTGTCTAAAACCTGCATGTTTCTCTTTATTTATTTACTTATTCAACCAACATTGTTACTTGCTATAATCCAATGTGTCTTTCAGAATATATGTGCTGTAAATAATCTGGAATGCTGTAGTGTAGGGAGGTGGGGCCTTTTGGGAGGAGTTTAGGTCATGACAGTTCCACCTTCTTTAATGGATTAATGTTGCCATAAAAGGCTTAGTGGATGGGGTTTGTCCCTTTTACCCTTCTGTTTTCTGCCATATGAAGACACAATATTCCTCCCCTTTGAAAGTATAGCACCAAAGTGCCATCTTGGCAGTACAGAGCAGCTTAACACAATACAGAAGCTGCTGGTGTCTTAACTTCATTGTAGTATTGTCTAGAACTGTGAGAAATAAACTTATATTCTTTATAATTTATCCAGTCTCAGGTATTCTATTATAAAAGCATAAAACTAAGTCTGCTATTTTTCAGTAAAAATGGTAGGCTCTAGGAATACAGCACTGAATAAAATAGATATCACCTGTAAAGAAGCCTATATTCTACTGAAAGAGACAGACAATAAACAGATACATGTGTTATGCTGTAAAGTGCTATTGAGAAAAAAAAACACAACAGGGAAAGAGAAGGACTAAAGTATATGCCATTTTAGAGAGGGTGTTGGGAGAACTTCTCAGAAAAGTTGACATTTCAGCATTGGCATGAATGAGATGAAAAAGAAAACAATGAAGAATTTGGGAAGATAATGTTCTGGGCAGAAGGAACAGGAAGAACAAAGCCTTTGCAAAGGCATAAGACTCAAGTGCTAACAAACAAGAAAGGAACAAATGCCTATAATAAGTTATCTTAAAAAATGCAACAAGTTTCTTAAAACTAACTTGTATGAACTATTCTGTTGATAAAAATATAAGCATAATTTTATAACAGGTTAGCTTATTAATTTCAATATATGTACATATTTTGTAACACTTTGTTAAAAGTGTCCACAGTTACCAAACTAATTTTTATGTATGTTTTCACAGGCCAACCTAATACTATTTGCACTCATTCTTTGTGTGTGGGTGTGATGATGGGGATGGAGCCAAATATCTTGTGCATGCTAAGCAAGCACAGTAACACTGAAGAATATCCCTCACCCCTGTTTGCACCTCATTCTTCATATTTTTAAACAGAAAAAAATCATCTTATAAAATATAGATCTTGAGTTTCATCATTTCAATTAGAAAAAAATCTTTCTATGTCTATTGTTCTCAAATACCAATATTTAAATATATCTTTCAATCTTCATGTCACCATGTTTTTAAAAATAATACCTTCAAGTTAAGAGCAACTTTAATTCAAAGAATCTCATTTAAAATAAACCTCTTAATCTTTGCCTTAATTATAAAATTTGGGTTAAACTCTGAAGGTTGAACATAGAAAAAAGTACTAGAATTTAAAATGAATCCTACTCTAAACACAATAGGTGTGCATGTATTTGGAAGAGGAAAGCTGAATTCAAGCTAAAGAAACAATGATCATGCACAGTGTAAACACTACAATCAATGCTTATGACTAAGAAAAAGTGCCCTATATTAGCGATTAGGATTTTCAAAAAGAGTTTAAGGCTCCTGGGATAAAAATTGATAGAGTATCATCTTGCAAGTCAGAATTAGAGAGTGCCCACTGGGGCTGGCCCATCTATGGACACTTATACATATCTCAATGTATGGATCTAACATAACCTACCCTCCAAAAAATAAATGAAACATTATTGCACTTAAGTGATGTCCAGTATATCCTCATATGACATGCAAGATGATTCCTCATCAAATTTTACTTGATCTCAACTAATTATGTACAAGATTTTAACACTGTCACCTAAATGTAATACTTCATATAGCTAAAAATGCTAGCAACATTAAGACTATCTTTCATTTTCAGAATGAAAATGAAATTTACATATTTCAAATATATATATATATATATATATAATTTATTCTTCAAGATAAATGAAGAAAGCATCTTTTATTATTTCATCTTGAAGATGTTGAAAAGACATCCTTTTTGCAGAACCAAAAATAAATGCTGGAGTAAGGTCTTGAATCCATGGATTCCGAGTATGGTTTCATGGCTCCTTTTATATTGTTACATAACAATTGGCAATGATTTATTTAAAAAAAAATAACTTTTTACCTTTCTGACAGTTTTCCCATATAATATGTCGAGTATTCTCATAATTTGTGTTTAACCAACTTAGCAGAATCCTCTCAGAACTAGAATATATATTGCTGGATATGAAAGTAGGATTGATTTTTGGTGTATTTTTCACATGTATGTGGGGTGCATTACTGCTACAATGTGGTGTAACTCGGGATAGGACCAGAACCTGAAATTGGAAAGAAAGAGACAACTTTTATCAGATTAAATAGAAAATTAACAAAATAATATTTGATGAGTAATAAAAGCTGATGGGTAAATGAATGTACTAGTATTTTCTGGCTAAATTTAACCATTCTGGAGTAAGACATGTATGCCACTTATGTATATATGCATGTTCATTTTGAGTTCCCAACATTTTTCTTTTATAGCATTTAGTCAATAAGGCACCATACTACACAATTTAAAAGAAACTTATTACTAATTAAAAAATAACTACCTTTGATGAAAGATGTTAGAATGATAATTCATTTAAAACACAAAAATTTTAAATGCTTTTTTAAAATCTCTTTACTACATCAGCCATAAAATAAAAATTTGAGCCAGGTATTGTGAAATATACTTGTAATCCCAGCATTTCAGGAGGCTGAGGCAGGAGGATTGCAAGTTCAATGCCAGCCTCAACAACTTAGTGAGGCCCTAAGCAACTAAGTGAGACTGTGTTTCAAATTACAAATAAAAAGAGATGGGTATATAGCTCAGTTGCAAACAATCTCTGGGTTTGCTCTCCAGTACCCGCCCCCACCAAAAAAAAAATTGAAAATCAAAGTAGTAAGTTATTCAGTCAAAACTGATTTTCAAATTGATACACATTGAAGAGGTCTGTTTTTAAGATGATAAAGTGCATAAAATTTTATAATTCGACATATTTTCATCCTATGCCATGAAGATTGGCATATTTATATCATATTGCCATTTACAACACGCACACCACATGTTATCATGAAATAATTTATCTGGATATAAATACATAATATTAAGTGAAAGATTCTATGTCTGATTAGTAGAGCACAACAGCCAAGATCTACTCAAAGTTACACATTTTTATTGTTACTTTTCAGTTATATATGATAGTAGAGTCTATTTTGACATTTATACAGACATAGACCCTATTCTTGTAGTGGTGAGATTCACTATATATACATAGGAAAGTTATGTCAGATCCATTCCACTATTTTTCCTTTTCCTATTCCCCTTCCATGCCCTTCATTCCCCTTTGTCTAATCTACTCAAATTCTATTCTTCCCCTCCCTCACTAATTGTGAGTTAGCTTCCACATATCAGAGAAAACATTTGACCTTTGGCTATTGGGGATTGCTTATTTCACTTAGCACAATAGTCCCAATATCCATTCATTTACTGGCAAATGTCATAAAGTCATCCTTCTTAATGGCTGAGTAATACTCCATTGTGAATATATAACACAATTTCTTTATCCTTTCATTTGTTAATGGTTGCACCAATTTGCAGTCCGACATGCAATATGAGTGGATCCTTTCCTCACGTCCTCATCAACATGTATTGTTCCTTGTATTCTTGATAATTGCCATTCTGGCTAGAGTGAAATGAAATCTCAGTATAGTTTTAATTTGCATTTCTCTAATTGCTAAAGATTTTGAACATTTTTTTCATATATTTGTTGAATCTGTTTAGTTCCTTTACTCATTTACTGTTTTTTGGTTGGAATTAGACTAGAAACCCTGCACTTACTGGAAGAAAATATAGCCCACACTCCAACATGCTGACTTAGGAATTGATTTCCTTAACACGACTCCTAAACTGATTTCCTTAACAAGACTTCTAAAGTGCAAAAAGTAAAATAAAAAATGAATGGGATGGCATAAAAAAACTTCTTTAGAGCAAAGGAAACAATAAAGAGCATGAAAAGAGAGCCTACAGAATGGGAAAAAATTTTGCCAACTGTATCTCAAACAGGGCATTAATTTTTAGGATATACAAAGAACTCGTAAACTCGTAAACACCAAAAACTCCCTGAATAACTTAATCAATAAATAGACAAAGGAACTAAACAGGCACTTCTCAAAGTTACACTTTAACTTGCCATTTGGCACAGATTCTAATCTGCTACCTAGAACATACACACTATATATATCTAGATGGATAGACAGACAGATAGATAGATAGATAGATAGATAGATAGATAGATAGATAGATAGATAGATAGATAGATAGATAGATAGACAAACACACAAACACACAATATTAAGACATCGTGAATGAAGAAGTCAGAATGTGGTTTACATTACAGTACACATTACAAGCTCAGCTCATTGCTTCATACCAGATATTTAATAGATAGTTCTCCAGTGACACGGGTGTGAAGATCATAGTTTGAGTGACATATGTTATAGATATACTGGAGGTATCCCTTCATATTCACCCAGCATTCACTTCTACATTCCAAAAACTGATTATTATGAACACCTTCATATACTTGCAGGAAGAATTTTTTATTGCATATTGGAGCACATGTAACCAGCAGAAAGCAAGCTCAGAGTGCCAGAGCATAATGAGCCCAGAAGTAGACCCAACACAAAAAGGTCAGGGAATTGGTAGTTAAATACTCTGGCTTCCTCATCACTGCATTGGGATAAATCTCAGATGTGTTCTAAAATGTCTCTCATAAAACTGTAGTGGGACTGAGCCTCAGTGGTCCATGATAAAACCTGATTGAAATCACATATGTTATTAGCTTAATTATATTCTCTATTTCAGTTCCCTATTCTACTACCCTTCTTGACATCACTCTGAAACAAACTAAATGAACTTAAATATTTTTCTCAGAGTCTGCTTCTAGGAGAATCCAACCTAAAAAGCATTTTCCTAGTCTAGAATGTTAATTATAACTTTGAAAAAAAGTGCTCACTTCTTTATGTAGTATATATCCATGCTACTACATAATATCTCAAATAACCACAGTTTAAAAATTATTAAGATATTTATGATGATCCTAAAACTGTTCTTTTATTTTTTATTATGGGAAATAGTTTAAAATTTCATCAAAAATCCATTACTGAGTGTTGAATATTTATCTGGTCTATGTCTAGAGAGAATAGCCATCCACAAATGTGAATTGCACCACTTTTGGCATTTTTAAGAGAAGTGTAACAAAATTACCTTCTCCTTTTATTCTGGCAGTTATGTGATCTAGAACTCTTAAGTTTCAAATGTCATATACTATAAAAATACTAAATGCCTTTGAAAAGGACCCCCATCCCTTTCTAGGGAATATTAAATGATGAATTATCTCAGTCCAGCCAACGAAATAAATGTTTCAGGCTAATAATTTGAGCTGGCACAGGATTCATCTGTCATCTGTCACCTCTACTCCGCAAATGAGACAAGATCTGCAAGTGACCCTTGACTAAGAACACAGATTTAATGATGGACCCACATGGAGCACAGATGTAACGTTTAATACAGAAAGAGCCACCATCCAGAGTACTTAATTCTACCGAAGGGCTTTTGAAACTATTAGTGAAAGACCTGTTAGTTTTGACTCTGCCACAGAATGATAGTTCTGTCAAATATTTAAAAAATAAATTGCCAGAAAAACAAAATAAATAATAAATTTATGTATAAAGCATATGACCTCATCTCAAGCAAACCAAATGCACCATTGCAAAGCATTTCTATTTATTACTTAATATCCAAACCACGTAATACATGAGCTGAAGGAAAGGAATGAGAATTACAGAGGACACAATTCTTTGTTAGCTGTCTGCTAATATATGAAGTTTATATAAATCAGGTTCAGTGATTTATACTTAGGAAATGCTTTCCTGCTATCACAAAACATTGTCTACACATCCAATTTTGTTAAATGTCTGATTCAAGAAATGTGATAAACAGTAGTTTGGCCACGTGATAGATTAGAGTCCTTGGCTATGTCACAATGGAGCATATTGAAGACAAAAATAAAATAACAAAATTATTATTAATAATATGTATGTACATATATTGATTGCTTCTTCACCACTGCCATATGCTCTTCCATTTCCACATGAATTTTAGTATTCTATTTGGCTTATTGTTTCTTAATGACTTTTAAAAAATATTGTCTTCAATGTATTGGCATAGAAAACAGATGACAATTTTCATATTTAAGTTGCCCATAAATCTCTAGATATTTTAGACAATTGCAATAGTTGGATTTCTCCTGAAGAATCATCTTGAATACAACTAGGTTGACTAGAAGGAAAGAATCAATAGCCAGCTCATGACATTCCTTTTGGACTTAGAAGTGCCTAATATTTTAACATGGGGTTTAAATCTCTTTACATCATTAACTCAAGGAATTGACAAAAATAAATTTATAGGAGATTCAAGTTAATTGAGGGTCCAGATGAGGATCATATACAGGATCAAGAACTCATAACTCAGGGTCAAGATATTGAATTAAATAATGAGGATGCTGCCATACTAGAAAATAGAAAGGTCTTCACATTTAAATGTTTTCCTACATTGAAATGACCCAGGCCCACTAGGCCCTAACTTTTGTGAACATTTCAGTCTTGGGTGTAGAGTGAGTGCAACACTTAAGCTATGCCCTGAGCCACAAGAACCCTGCATTGTTGTTGCTGTGCATTTATTTACCTATCTTGTGTACTTTCTTAAGCTAAGTTAATGTGTCACAATATGAAGTCTACAATATATCCTACATTTGATTAACCAAACAAACCTAAGACCATATGGCTGGTGAAGCAGAGTAGGCCTACGCAACTGATGATGCAAAAGGTAATATTCCTAGCATATATTTGTCTATGGGAAAGACAATTTAGAAACTAGTAACTAATCAGCATTAGACTGAATTTTCCCATAGTTTTTGTGCCCATAAGAGGGAAATTTTCTTGAAGATTTAAAGGACATTGGCATGTTCAGATATGGCTGGACAAAGTAGATTTTAAAATGTCATATGTAATATGGACTATTACTGTGTTACAATAAAGATGAAAACCAAAGCACATGCAGGAAAAACTCCTCTATTCAAATCTCAACTATATGAACAAATCCTCATTGAGGCAAGACTGAAAATACATAATTCAAAACCATGGTTCTTGCATATGTAAATACTCTGAGCTATAATCCTTGGTATCAAAGTTAACTTCCTTCTTTTTTTTTTAAAGGGAGAGAGAGAAAGAGAGAGAGAGAGAGAGAGAGAGAGAGAGAGAGAGA